ATGGCAGAAGTAACTTTGTTTTAGATAAAGGAGACAGGAAGGCATGCTTAAAAGCAAAACATTTAGGGAGATGTGAGAAACCAGCTTCCCACACAGGCTCCGAGGTGTAGAAATCTTTCCAAGATAGATGAAGAGGGGGTCTCACAGAGATAATGAGCAGTAGTCATAAAATATACATGACAGGTTTCAAGGACAGGACAGACTATCCTCTCCCATAGGGATGAGAGGGCAACCAGATGGTCAGGCTCGACCAGAAGTTAGCTATAGCTGTAGCTTCAAAGTAGATTGAGTGTGTGTGGTGGGGAGTGCCTAAAGTCAATGACTATTTAATCTCATGAACCTCAGTCATCCTTTGACTAAGCCCTTTCACTAACTCCCACCCACTAGGGTGCTTTGCTATCCTTTCAATAAACTTTGTGCTTGCTTTACCTTTAACTCCGGGTCTGTGGCCAAGATAGCTGTAACAGTATATGAAGTATGTGATTTCTATTGGTAACAAGGTCAAAGGTACTGCTAACACAGCTATGGTTTGATAGCTACATCTGCAGTTGAAAATAATTCCAAAGTTTAGTTAGGTTGATGGAAAGATGCAATTTTTCCCCAAACAAGTTTACACATCCCTTGAATTCCATACACTCAGGGGATCAATTTGCAGACTTCAAATTTAAAACCTCTGACTGAACAGAAAAGAACATTAATAAAGTAAAAACAGCTTTGGTTCTCAAAACTCAATAAACAAGCTATAGAGGGCAGGCATTGTGAATGCCAGGAGGGAGGTGGAGGCAGAAGGGCTGCAAGATCAAGACCCCAGCTGCATGGTGAGTTCCAGGCCAGCCTCAGCTACAACATAGCAAGAGCCAGTCTCTAAAAACAACAACAAAGCCTGGTACAGGTGGCTCACATCTGTAATCTTAGCTACTCAGGAGGCTGAGATCAGGAGGGTTGAGGTTCGAGGTCAGTCTGGGCAAACAGTTTGAGCCACCATCTCTAAAATAATGAGAACAAAATGGACTGGAGGTGTGGCTAAAGAGGCAGAGTGCCTGCTTTGCAAGCATGAAGACCTGATTCAAACCCCAGTCCCACCAAAACAAGATGAAACCCCAATTTATAAAGGCCCTGTTATTCTCCAAAATATTCTATAACACAACAGAAGAGTGTCATTGAGACTTCATTCATTCATTAATTTTCAGAAGATCTGGGTTGTGTAAAGCACTGGTTTGATTCCCAGAACAGTTTTTTTAAAAAGAAAGAAAAAAAAGCTTCAGGATTTATATAGGAACAAAATCACAGGAAGACATATTTTTCAACTAGTAATCAACTATGCATCTTAAAATACCAGAACATTTTGAGGAATTTCTCCCTTATACAATGACTAAATCACTGAATTAAACCAAATTCAACAACACTGAGTTGTGCTAATAATAAGGGAGTGTGGAAAACCATCAGAGCTGGATCTGTTTCTGCAGGAACAGTCAGTGGTACCCAACAAAGACCCAATTGCCATAGTCAGTTATTTGGGATGGATGTGAATTCATCACTTCATTGCACGTACTGTGACCCCAGAGGACTAATGACCATTTCTATAAGATGGTTGTTAGCTATTTTAATCCTTCCTCTGTATGGAACATGGGCTAAAACATGTCACCTATACTAGTCTTTCTGTCATATAGATCCACTTTACTCTTTACTATCCTTCCCCCAAAAAAAAATCCCAGGGAAGAAAATGTGCAAGGAATGCAACTTTGTCAGGACAAATTAAAAAGTAACAAATAGAACTTAGAAAGGTGACTTAGAGCAATATACTTAAGAAGATTAATCCTCTCCAGACAAATAATTTGGTAGACACTGGAGCTATGAGAAGTTTCTGATCAAAGAAATGACATAAGGATGCTCGGTGCCTGTGACCCTAAGTTCAACACCTAGTACTACACACACACACACACACACACACACACACACACACACTAATACCACAACCACTAACTTGTCCTTTCTATTACAACCTATTATCTTTATAGAGATATTCTAGTCAATAAATTAAGGATTGATAGAATTAAAGGTAATGTTAAATTACCATCATTTGTAAGTCAGTAATGAAATGATGAAATATGTTGTGACTATAGCAGAAAGAGGAAAAACCAAATCACATGACTTCTGATGGAAGTTCACAGTGATACATATGAACTATACCAGCCCTCTCTTCCTGGACTCCCTCACAGAAATCAAACCTGAACTGATCTGTTTCCTCTGTTTTCAGTTAAGCTACTGATTTACAGGAAATACAAGGAAAACGGGACTTGCTAAACTAGGACATGTTAAAACTATACCAGTGGGACACATTCACCAGTATCCAGAATAAGGGAAATGAGGAGAAAAATGACCTGCTTCCTTCAATAAATAAGAAAGGAATTATCGCTAGAGAAACATTTTGGAGACATACCAACCAAATCATACCAAAAAATTATCTTAAAACATCTTGTGGACAGAAATAAAAATGATTAAGGAAAATCTGGTATTTGGCATTTGGGAGTTATTTTTTAAAGATGGTATAATATATTGTGATCATGATATTTTTTTAAGAATTCAGTTTCAGAAATAAATACTGAAATATTTACAGATGAAATAATAATAGGATTTGTCTCACAATAATCCAGGAAAGTGGGTAGGGGTAGGAATGAAGCATTAGTGTCTCACTTTTTTGTGTTTTGAAACTTTCCATGCTAAATTGTTTAGAACAGAAAATAGAAGAAAACTCCATGTCCCCAAAAAAGAGAGAGAACAGGGGCTAAGGGTTTAGCTCAGAGGTAGAGGGTCTGCCTACCATGCATAAGAACCAGCATTGAGAAAAGAAAAAACAGGATGTGAATTGTGGCTCTAAGCTTTATAAGCTGGGCAGCTCTGGAGACAGTAAACCGCTCCACCACCAAAACCTATTTTCCTTCCTCTTCTATCCCTCCCCTACTGTCCATATTGTCCACTTACTGTGGCTGCACACCCTGCCTTGGAGTGCTCTCCAAACTGATTCCAGAACCAGTCCCTGAAATGCAAAATCTGATCAGACTATCCTCAGTTCCACTTAAAATCTTTCAAATGCTTTCATTCAACTTCAAGAGAAGAGTCCTGTCCCTTAAAATTGATACTGGAGTGGATTGTTGTTCCCTGAGTTCGTGTCCTGACACAGTGGATGACTGAAGGCGCCAGACAAGCAGCTAAGAGTTCAAGCAATTTCACGCCACAGACCAGGAGTTAAGAGTAAAGCAAGAACAAAGTTTATTGAAAGGATAGGAAAGTATCCTGATGGGTGGGACTTTGGTGAAAGGGCTAAGACAAAGGATGGCTGAAGTCCAGGTTAAATAGGGCTGACTTTAGGCACCCCTCCCCACTCTGCTTTGAAGCTATAGCTAAAATTGACTGTTTGTTCTTATGTCCTAATCAGGCCGGATATTCCAAGATCTTGTTAGTCCATCTTGTCCTTGAAACCTGTCATGTACATTTATGACTACCGCTCATTATTCTAGTGAAACCCCTTTCTTTATTTTGGGAAAGTTTGCTATGTTACTCTCCTTTTAGGGGTCACTATCTCATCTCTTTAGATGTCTGCCTTTAGGAATGTTTTGTTTTCCTTATCTAAGAGAAACTACTGTGTCTCAGCACCTGTGTGGGAGGCTCGTTTTTCAGTCTCCCTAAATGTTTTGCTTTTAAGCATGCCTTCCTGTCTCCTTTATCTAAAACAAAGTTACTCCTGCCATGCCATCCCTTTACATCCCAGGGTTGCCATTTGTTCCTAGAACATTTCTGCAATTTTATTTCCCCTCACCCTTGTCCCCTTACAAAATGACCAAGTCCTCCCTGATCTGCTCCTATCCCAACCCCTTTCTGCTTTAGCTTTGGTGAAATCCTTTCAGTTCTTACACTGCACCCTGTATCCTGTAGTCAGTAGCTCCAATACTGAACTTCCCTTCCCACCTATCAGCACTCCCTTGCTGTTCATCTTTCAAGGCTCAAATTAAATAGCATTTCCTCACAGAGGCCTACCCAGATTGCTTCTCAAGAAAAGTTATCTACATAATACAGGATTTCTTCGCATAGGATCCTGTTCTCCCCCAACACTCAATACTTGTTAGTAAACAGTACTTACTGTAGTAATTAACTATTTATGTTTTTCTGGTAGACTGTAAAGTCCAGGAGGGAAAGTACTAGAATCTGTTCACTGCTGAACCCTAAATTTCTCATAGTGCCTGGTTACTAAGAACAAATAGGTGAATATATAAAATTCACAACTCTCTGTTTTCTTCATATCCAAGTTCCATTTTCCTTGTCCTCATCTGCAACAAATACGCATTTCTACAGGAATGCATGTTAGGAAGTGACTGAAACACAATGGGAATGAACATAAGAGCTGGGAAGTGAGGCCCTGAGTTCAATCCCAGTCCCAACCTCCTCCCCAAAAAAAACTGAAGTTGGGAAGTTATAACTGTAAAAATCTATTTCCAGCTGGAGATAATTTGTTTCCATACTTACAATTTTAGAGAAAACTCAGGAGAGTTAATTGGACAAAATGGGGGTCAAAAGACATACACAGTACCTGCCCAACCTTAACAACTTTTTAAAGGCAAAATGTCAAGTTATTTAACCTCCCCAGCCTCAGTTTCTGTAAAATAAAGGAAATTAACCAGCTGCTTTAAGACCCTTTCCAGAGCTATTATATGCCTTCATAGTTGAAAGAAAAAAGATGTGTAGACTACTGAGATCCTAATCAGTTTCATCCCCTGGTGGCATGAGCCTTCTCCCTACCCCACTCCCCTTAATCATTTCAGAGATATTATTATTAGGGTTACAGCTAAATCTTCAATCTCTTCTACCACTAAAAAAAAAAAAAATGCTAGCTGCTGGTGGCTCACCCCTGTAATCCTACTACCCAGGAGGCACAGATCAGGGGGATCACTTCTCAAAGCCAGCATGATTTAAGGAGTAACAGATGTTTCCTGGTTTAGATCGATTACAAACTGTTTTTTGCACCTAATTATGTCACGACAAAGCAATGAAATGTTCAAATGCATGTGGAAATGTTCAAATGCTCCTCAAAACCATGCTTTTGACCAAATATGTCACCATCCTTCCAATGCCTCCACAGGACTACCTGTGAGTGATGTCCCTGAATTGAGCCAGAGGGCTCCTGGAAGCCACAAGTTGAATGACAGAGAGCACCTGTCTGACCCAGTCTGGGACACTGTCAGCCAGCTGGTTCAGTCTGCCAAGTCCAATCGAACACTGCAGTGTTACCTGGGCTGTGGCACAGCTCCTCACACCACTCTCACAAGTCACCAGGTGGGACAAGGATTGACAGATCATCTAGGGATATGGGTTCTTTTTCTTCACTGGACAAAAAATTAAAAGACAGGAAAATCGTGAGAGAATTTAGCAAAGATTTATTGGGGAAACAGAAAGTGAAAGTAAAGCAAGGAACTTCTCCAAGGAGAAGGGGATCCAGAAATCCGTAGTCCACTGACATCCTCCAACATTTCCCCTTGAAGATCCTCTCTTTCCCACCCCACCAGGTGGGCGTGGGATATTCTCTCCATTTCAATGTGCCCGGATTTCCATCACCCTCTGTCCACAAGGTCTTTCCCTTTATGTGACTGGATCCCCCACCTGTGAGCATTACAGGATTACAGAAGTGCAGGGGTATCCCCAGACCTGGAGCATGTTGGGAAGAAGAAGCCTCTGCATCACCAGTGCCATGTGGACTCCACCATCTTTCCCTTACTGCCTGTATCCTACCATCTGTCCCTTATTCCCCACTCTCGGATGGCACCCTAACTGCCATTAGGGATCAGGGGCGATGACCGTTCTGACTGCTTCCTGCTGGGTGGGGGCGCAGATTAGTCAGCCAGCCAGGGTTCCTCCGAGGGGAATTTAGGCTGATGCAGAGGCTTTAGTGGAATGGCGGCTCTGAACGTACAATCATCTGGGTTCTGAACAACAGGAAACAAACTTTACTAGAAGGTTAAAGAAATAGTGCCTAAAGATGAGTAAGAATGAGATGGTGGCTATGACAATCAAAATGGGAAGCAACCATATCAATACTTGGCTAGTGACCTCAGAGTTCTGGGACTGTTCTTTGAGCCACTTGGCTTGATCTAAAATGCGGTTGGCACGTTCCTCCACTGCTCCTGAGGTATTTATGTAAGTGCAGCAAGAAGTGCTGGCTAGGGCACAGACTCCACCTTGCTCAGCTAATTCAAAGTCAAGGGCCAGACGGTGGGCCAAGCCCGTCTTTGGTAAGGAGTCATGAGATTTTTGCATATCTGTAAGGTGGAGCCCAGTTTCCACTGCCACATGTCCCACTGTATGAGTTAAACTGGTGGCAGTCATGGTATTGGACGCTACACCATGGGATAGTCCTGCCAGGCTGGCTATTAAGGCTACAGGTTCCCGTTTATTCCTGTGACTAGAAGCCCCAGTTCGTTGGGAAAACTCCATAGTTTGAAGGATAGAATTATTCCAGAAGGTAACCTGTTTGTCATTAGGAACTAACTGTCCAATGGCCCAGTTACCCCTAGTCTTGTAGGGATGTAAGCACTGCAGGCCAAAAGCTTCAGATCTGGTGCCATTGAGAGTTACTCCAATGAACAGGTAACCCGGGGGGAGACAGAGGAGCTTCACTGTAGTGAAGTTGGAGGGATATAGATTAGGATCAGCTGAAAGATTCCCAGGGACACCCAGGGTGCTTGTCCTATAAAGACTTCTAAGGCAGGACTTGCAGGGGAGGTTCTGTATATAATTATTAAATCGACTCCTAGCGATCTGGGTTTGGGTATAATTGCAGGTCTGGTTGCGCACAATAGTGCAGTAGGGTTCAGAGACATTTTGCCCAATGATGGTACAATTGCTAGGTTGGAAATCATGGCGTTCAGTACAAACATATGTCTCCTTGATGCCATTACAATGACAGGTGACAGTGTCACCAGGAGAACAAGGAATGCCTGTGGTATTACTGCTGTTTGGGCGATGTGTTCTGTAGGGAGTTGAGCAGGAGGGGTCCCTTGACACATTGAACCCAGGGTCTATATTAGTATTCCACAAATACTCAGAGACATCCACCAACGTAAGGGGACTGTCATGAGGCAAGGAAGTTATCCCTGTTAAGTGAATTAGAGGTGCAGTAAAATTTAAAGGCTTCCCAGTAAGGGGGAGTGAACGAGCCATGAAAGGGTCAGTGAAATTGATGATAAGCCAGTCGGGAATTTTGCCAGCACTGGGCCTTTCATAGCAGACCCAACAGTTTTTTAGGGGGGAGTTCTTTCCAGCCATGGCCTGAGAGATAGAGAGGAAGGAATTCTTCTCCCAGATACCCCACATAGAGGGGAAAAGTGAAACTAGAGAAAGGAATGTAAGGAACATAGTTACTTGGCTGAACTGGGCACAGCCTTTTTGAAGAGGAGCTTGTTGAAGGTTCAGATGTAGAAGAAACCCCAAAACAGAGCGGATACAGACTAGAAAGAGAAGTAAAGCAGTATCTCTGGGATAGTTCAGTCAGAGGGGTCTACAGAATATAGTACCACACCAAAAATAATTATCATAACTGTTCAAAAGACAACAAAGGCCCAAAAAAGTCAGGGCATCACTTATCTGGAGAAGTAGGAGTCTGCTTCCTGAAGAGTAAGCACATGAGAAAGCATAGTCTGGAGCTGTCAGGCTCGGTGTCTGCTGTTCCAATGTCCAGTGGGACTTCCTTTGTTGGAGGGTTCCAGTGCTTTATCCTTGAATGGCGAATCCAGGAGTCTAGTCCTGCCAACTGCACTGCACTGCCTTTGTAGTGGATAAAATGACTGGGAATGGTCCTTCCCAAGAAAGTTTTAGTCAGGGTCTAGAGATATAACGAAGACTAGGCCCCCCAGGCAAAAGAGAGAGGGTCCACTCATTTGTTCCCTGGGAATTTCCTGTTGGATCTCAGACAAAATTTGCTGGAATTTTTCAAGCTGGGTGACATGGGAGACCAACTGAGCTGTTCTGGATCAAGGAGGTTATTAGTAAGAAACGGCCTTCCATAGGGAAACTCAAAGGGAGTCAGGCCCTACTTCCTGGGGGTATTTCTAAGTCTGAGGAGTGTGATGAGCAGAAGTTTGGTCCCCGGGGACTAGGTCTCCTGGATGAGTTTGGTCAGTTGTCTCTTTAAGAGTTCATTGACCTTTTCGAATTTACCAGAGGATGGCTGCTGCCAAGCACAGTGGAGATGACAATCTATCCCTAAGGCTCCAGTAAGCCCCTGATCTGGGTCACTTGGGCTTCAAAGGCAGGGCAGTTTTCACTTTGGAGACTTTCAGGGAGGGTGAATTGGGGAATGATTTCAGTTATTAGGATTCTGGCTACTTCTCTAGCCTTTTCAGTTTTGCAAGGGAAGCTTATACCCATCCCAAAAATGTGTCCTCTAGCACTAGCAGCAATTGAATTAGTCCCCCCTCCCCCCCCCCACAGACACACACATATGGGTAAAATCCAACTGCCTACTCACCAGGGTAAGTCCCTTACCTCTGTGTCCCTGGGACCTGGAGGCACCTGTTATTGGGATTTGTTCTCTGGTGTATTTCATATGGTTGCACTATCTACTGAACCATGTCTTTGAGCCCTACTCCCTTGAACAGCTTCCTTGAGATTAGGGTATTTTCTAATTCTAGATGGTAGAGTTGATTAAGTGATTTTAAAACCTTTTACTGAGGACTCTAGGAAACCATAGACTACCCTCAGGGGACATCCACCAGCCTCTATGATGCAGATGGCCACCTCAAATTCAGGAATGTTGGGCTTCCTCCTGCTGGTAAGAGGGATTCCCTACGGGAATCAGAGATTTCTACCATAGAAGACAGCCTGCTGGGAACGCCCTCATGGCTGCCTTTTTCACAGCCTCAGCAAAGGCTCCTTTTCCCCAGGCTATTATATCATCGCCCTTTTGATGGCGGGGGCAATAAATTACTGACACTTGTTTAGGGAGTAAAACAGCATCTAGGAAAGTAATCTGTGAATACTTAACAAATGGCTGCCTAGTCCAGAATAACTCTCGCCCTGAGTCCCTTCCAGCCAGCATGAGTCCCAAACGCCATGTGAAACTTCCCTTTTCTCAGATCCCAGCATCTCTCCAGGAGCATTCTAAAGGCTGGAGAGGAAGCGACTTCCCCAAGGTCGCCGGGCACCACGACCCGATTCCTCGGCCAGGCCAGTGGCCAGCACCTGACCACGGGGCCCAGCGGCTGGGCTGGGAGAGACACTGTCCCCAAACACCTCAAGGTCCCCTTCACCAGAGCCGCGCTCTGGGGCCACGCTGCTGCCGCGACCACGCTGCCCTCTATCGGGCGCCTCCCGCCCTCCCTTCCCGGCAGACCAAGGTCTGCGCTCACGCTGGGGTCTCTTCCACCCCCCAGGGCAACTCGGGGTGCGCGCGGGCTGCGCCCCAACTAACCTTTATGTGCGCGGCTTGCGGCGCCGAGACCGCGCGTGACGCGGCGGCGCGTGCTGAGTTCCTCAGGGCCCGGCTCGTGCCCTTCGCCCGCCGCCGGCTTGGCGCTTTCCAGCACCCACGCGGACAACTCACCCGTCACGTCGCAGCTCGCCACTTTGTCTGGCGGGGCAGGCGCGGCGGCCTTATAACCCGCGGGGGCCGGAGCATGCGCACAGGGGGCGGAGTCGCCCTTCCCGGCCGCCGCCCCCTCCCTGCCATCCACACACTGAGCGGCAACTCGCGCCTCCGCACGCTCGCGGCTGCGCGTGCCCGCTCGCTCGTGCGCGCGCCGGCGCCCCCTCCTCCTACTAATCACCCCCACCCTCCTTTTCACTACGTTTCCACGTAGGCCTTGCAGGCAGTTTCTGTTTCGCAAATGAAGAACCTGAGACTGAGGTGGAATACGGCATCAGGCCCTGGGAACTCCTGTGTACTTTCTTTCACTCACTGTGCCTCTAATTCAGGCAACAAAAAAGTTTAAAGTGCTCAAAACGTCCAGGGTGCTGGTGGCTCCCGCCTATAATCCTAGCTACTCAGGAGGCAGAGATCAGGAGGATCGCAATTCCAAGTCAGTCCCAGCAAATATTTCACGAGACCCTATCTCTGAAAAAAACCATAACAGAAAAGGGCTGGTGGAGTGGCTCAAGGTGCGGGAGTTCAAACCCCAGTACCACAAAAAAAAAAAAAAAAAAGTTGAACATGTTAGTGGAAGACAATATGAAGTCCACGGCCAAGTACAGCTTGTGAGCGATAATGACTTTTTACATTCGATGCATGCAGAGAATGGGAGGACACTTCTGATCAGTGGGGTAACCTGGACTTGGCCACCAGTGTGTCAGGATTTTTAGAGTGGCAGCAGCATTCAGGTAGATGGTTTGGAAAGCTGAGTTAGGGAGACCGGGCTCTGGTTCAGGTGTGAGTCTATCAGGACCTGTGCTATGGAATGTGGTGAGAAGCACTGGTAGGTTCACAGTGTGGTCCTGGAAGCCAGGTCTCCTGTTCCACCTTTGATAGTTGGCACTTACTAGCTCTGTGCTCTTGGGCAACTCATGCTACCACTCCAAGCTTCATCCTCCTCATTGGGTTATTATGACAATAGAACTAACATTTGTGTCAGACCTTAATATATTTTTTTTCTGTCCTGGGAGTGGAACCAGAGCCTGTTAGACAAGTGCTCAACTACTGAGATATATCCCTAGCCAGCCTGCCTGCCTGCCTTGCTTTCTTTTCTTTTCAGGATTTTTTGTTTTTTGTTTTTAATGTGCTTGAAAATCTGTTTTTCAGGCTGGGACCTGGGGAATCAAAACAAAAAACAAAAAAACAGAGCATAACATCGGCCTCATGTGTCCTCACTTGAATAGGCCTCCTCTAAGGCCCACCCTGAGCAGAGCCCTAGTAATGCATTCAGAAGATCATATCTGTTTTGTATTGTAATTTTGTATTCCTTTTTTTTTTCTTTTTGAAGATACCCAGCTAACTATAGACACCTCAAACTCTATAAAATCTGGCTCTGCCCTGATAGGGACCCAGAGTTATAAAGAGTGTAGGCTTTTGGATCAGAAGAACTGGTTTCATCACTGGGTGTGGTGGTGCACACCTGTAATCCTGGTACATAATGAGACTCTGTCTCAAAAAATAAAAAAAAAAAAAAAAAAAAAAGGACCTGGTCCCTCCACTACTATCTGGGCAGTTAATTTACTAAACTCTTCTGGGCTTCAATTTCCTCCCCAAAGTAAACTGACAAGGCTGGTGCAGAGGCTCAAATTGTAGAATGCCTGCCAAGCAAGCATGAAGCCTGAGTTCACACCCTGTACCACAAAAAAAACAAAAAAGAAGAAAAAAAATTAGTGATTGGTAATTCTTGGAACGTGCTCTGCAAGTACTTATGAATTAATATTGTTAGAATTTGTTTTTATAAAGGGAAAAAAACTAAAGAACTCCAAGATGCTGGCATGTAGTTTAGTGGTAAAGCACTCGCTTAGCAAGGCACAAAGTCCCTGGGTTTGATTCCTCAGCATCAGAGGGGGCAGTGCTAGAAATGGAAGAGGCAGAGAGAGGGCTCAAAAGCCAGCTCAGGGTTTATTGTTCAGGAAGGAGCCCTGCGGAGGGGGACTCGAGAGAGCTGGAGCCCACAACCACTTACAGAATTGAGTAGCTATAAGGAATCGGTCTGGAAGGGAAACCCCGCTGGGTGGGAAAATTCTTTAGGAGTGGAGTCAACCATCTCCAGGGGAAGCTAGAGGAGATAAGTGGCAATTAGGTAGATAAGTCGCTCAGCTCCGGGCCCCCTGGCTAGAAAGCTATTTGTCATTTCCTTGAGGCTAGATGTGCTCCTTCCAGTGGGTTGTGGGTTGTCAGTAAGCTGCCTGCAAGGGTGAGGGGTCCAATTCTAACAAGACTTCTTTTCCAAAAGCAGTAATAGGTGGATTTCAGGCGGGGTGGACCTGGGAGCCAGATCTATGCCAACTTTTATAGTTGGTACTAAGTTCGAGCCCTTAGGCAAGTCATTTTACAACTCCAAGCCTCATTCTCTGCTCTACAAAAGGATAATACCTACCTCATAGGGTTATTATAACAATAAAATTAATATTTATTTCAGACTTTTTTTTTTTTCTTCCAGTTTTGGAGATGAAACCAGAGCCTGCTGGTACAGGTAAAATTCTTGTCCTTCTGCCAGGTATTCTTGAGTTAAGTCATGAGATGGAAGGAATAAACTAAGAAGCATAAGATGAGAATTTCAAGCTGAGAAGGGCAGATCATTTAGCATACCCCACATTTTACACAAATGGAAATGGAGGCCTGGAGAAGCCACCTGTTTCATGAATGGCATGATCTGAAGAACTAGATACACAAGCTCCAGGTTTGCCTTGCTGCAGCAAGTACAGTCTTCAAGATAAAAGCATTTTGCTGGAGGCATGGTTCAAGTGGTAGAGTGCATGCCTAGCAAGCACTAAACCTTGTTTTGCCCCACCAAAAAAGAAAAAAAGATAAAAGCATTTTGTCATGGGGTCTTTCAAAATCAGAGAAGGCATGGTGCTCTCTAGTGGCTTTTAGCTTTATGGTAAAAATTCCCAGGATTCACATTGTCTTTCTTAAAGGTTGACAGCCTGGATGATGCTATGCTGATCTGCCTCAGGGAAATGCTGTACTGAACTGTTGTTTGCAAAGTTGTTAAGTGAGCAAAACTCTGAAGATTTCTAGGTAAGAGTTTTAACTTTAGATATTAGTGATGAGATGAGAAATGCAAATGCAAAGCTGTGTATAGTGGTGCACCTTTAAAAGCACAGCATTGGATGGGCTGAGGCAGAAGAATCCCGAGTTTGAAGGCAGTGTCTGCTACATAGCAAGACCCTGTCTACATAGCAAGAACTGGGCTCATATCTGTAAACCCAGCTACTTGAGGGGCAAAGATCAGGAGTTTCGAGGTTGAAGCCAGCCCAGGCAAAGTTAGTGAGACCCTACCTCAAGAACAAAACAAAACTGAGGCATAGCTCAAGTGATAGAGCATTTGCCTAGCAAGCATGAACTACTGAGTTCAGTCACCTACACCACAAAGAAAAAGGGAAACAAGCAAACAGAAACAAATGCAAATGCAAAATTTGAAAATTCTAACAATGTAGATATTCTTCAAGTTAAGTAAGTTGCCTCATTGATTTTTTCTGGAAAGGAGAAAAATAAGATGACTGTGTTTTGCTGGAAAACTGAAACTACTTACCTCACATTTCCTCAATGATTCCATCATTTTTGTGATGTACGAAATAGGAAGTTGCTATTATCCCCATCTCACTAACCATAAATAATACAAGGAAGCATTCTTTTGAACATAATCCACTAAGAACCTTCCCCACCCTCATAATTTACAATTAGCAGGGAAAACAAAGTTTGTTTTTGAGCCATTAAGAGTAAAGGAAATAATGCCATTCCCAAAAACATTCTGCCATATGTGGGGCACGTATGTAATCCCCTTGAGAGACAGAGGTGGAGGATGTGAGTTCAAGACCAGCTGGGGCTACACAGAGAGTCCCCGTCTCAAATAAATTTAAAAAAAGAAACAAACCCTCTTTAAAGTTGAGAACCTCCAGTTCGGGGCATCTTCATTAATTTCTTATTAAATTTTAACTATAGGCCTGCTGCTACTCAAAACCTAAGTGTGATTTATGCAAAGAACTTGGAGCTTTTAATAACTTAGTGTAACTAAGATGCACTTCAGGGACCTTTCTGACCTCTCCCTGTTTCTCCTTAGCTCTTTTTTTTTTTTTTTCTGGTGGTACTAGGTTTGAATTCAGGGCTTTGCACTTGTTAGGCAGGCACACTGTGGCTTGAGCCATACCTCCAGCCCAAGGAGCTAGTAACTTTTTACTTCAGCTGATAAACAGCAGCCCTCCTCAGCTCTTCTTGCTCTGAATTGACCCTTCTTTAATCTCCAGCCTATATCAGTTCAGCTTCCTAATCAGTTACTTCTCTGGCTCCTTGCTAGCATGAGATAAGGAGTTGTTTCTTCCTCCTACCTGGCAAGCTGTGTATGTAACAGCATGGAAGAGAGGCAAGTACACTAATAAGGGAGTGCTTGTAGCAATTCTGTTATACAATTTGAACCTTCTTTCAATTTAGCTTTCTTACTAATTAATATGAGTAAATGAGCCTTTTATAGTTTTTGTATTTCCCGGATTTTTCTTTTTCTTTTTTTTTTTTGTATTCACTCAACAAGTATTTATTGTATGACTGCTATGTTATGCAGCAGGCATTGCTATTTGAGCATAGGGAACAGAGTGGTGAATAGAAACACAGGTCCCTGCCATCAGGACCTTATGTTCTTGTATGTAAGACAGGCAATAACAAGTATACACAGTAACATATTAATAGAGAGTGGCCGGTGTATAAGGATACAGAATGGTGAGAGATAGAGTGAATTGGGTTTGGAGGTTTTTAAGTGGTTGGCTATATTTTAGATAAAATAGGAAAAAAATTTCTCCCTGCCAAGACAATATGGTAAATGCCTTCACCAAATAGGAAAAGCCCTGTGAACTAGAAAATTGTTTTCACAATGGTCAGATTAGTGATGTGTAAGAAACAGC